TCAAAGAAATAAACGGGAACAAGGAGCACCACCTAAACTACTCCAATTGCTACCCATTCCTAAGATCATAACGACTGAGATATCAATGGATTTCATTATTGGACTTCTGCCCTTGAAAGAAAAGACCGCTATTATGGTGGTAGTGGACCGCCTATAAAAAAAATGGTGCACTTCATCACAATGTCACAGCCCATTGCTACCAATAGTACTGGTCAAGTTTATTATGAGAATGTTCTTAAGCTGTATGGAGTACCAAAGTCAATCATGAACGACCGCGATCCCTTGTTCACAAGCGCATTTTGGAAAGAGTTATTTTGGCTGCGAGGCACTGAGATTCGCTTTTCTTCCTCTTACCATCCACAGACAGACGGACAAATTGAGGTAACTAATTGTATTCTTGAAAGCCATTTACAATTTTTTATCGGGGATAACCTAAAACAATGGACGCTATGGTTACCATTGGCGGAGTGATAGGACCCTAAATGGGGAGGGAAAATGGTGGACATGTGGGTTATAAAAGGCTTGGGCACCTTCCTTGGTAAATAGGTTTTCTAAGGGGAGTTATATCCAAGCCTACAAAGGCCCCCTACCTAGCCCAATTCTTATCAAAGGCCCAATGTCCAGCCAATTCATATTAATTTGAGAGTAGGTTTTGTCAAATAGTATCAGAGCATAATCTTGCATCTACATGGCAAGCTGACTTGTGGCAAACTCACCTCGGGCCCGGGCTGTTACCCCGAGAAAGGGCATGGAGGCTCGAGGGAAAGGGAATCTATGTAGTCATCGAGGGGTAAAGAGGCCAACAAGGGTTGGCTGACCTTAAGCCCATGCTACCACCCCGAGAAAAGGCATGAAGGTCAGAAGGAAAGGAGATTTGTGTAGTCACCCAAGGGGTAAAAAGGCCAACAAGGGTACAAAGGCCGACGGGGGTAAAGAAGCCGACATGAACATCGGTTGCGGAAGCGTCGTAGTGCGTTAGGATTCTACATTGGAAGGAAAAATGGTGGACATGAGGGTTATAAAGGGCTTGGGCACCCTTCTTGTCAGTTGTTTTAGAGTGAAATAACTACGAGTCGGTGGATGTTGAACAAGTGTGAAATGTCCTCTTTCATTTTCCTCTACTTGTGCAGCGATTTATGGTGCAAAATTGAGTCGTCCATCGGTATGGCTTGGACCGTTAGGTCTCGTCTAGGGTTGCAAACGAACCAAATAGTTCGCGAACAACTCAATGTTCGTTCGATAATGTTTGCGAACAGTTCGATAATATGTTCGATCGAGTTCGAAGAGGGGTTGTTCGTTCGATTATGTTTGCGAACATTATATGTTCGACTGATCCATCTGTTCGAATATTCGTTCGTTTATATTCAAAAAACATGGTATGCATTATTATAATATATATATATATATATATTTTTTTTTTTTTTTTTTTTTTAGATAGTAGTTTGGTTAGTTTTGAGCATTTTTTGAATCGGGATCAATAATAATAAAATATTATGATACTTTTGTCTTTCTTATATATATAACATGTTTGAATTTTTTTTTTTTCCAAATGTCATCAATAATTAAATATATAAGTATATAACATTTTAATTAAAAAGTAATAAATTATTTTGATATATAGCATGACAAATTCAATAACATAATAGATTGTATAATTAAGTGATATATAATATAGTAAATCCAATAACATAATAACTTCATATTTTTCCAAATGTAATTAATAATTAAATATTATAAGATAGTATTTCAATTAATAAATAATAAATATAATATGGTAAATTGATAAACATAACGTATTGTATAATCAAGTGATGTATAATATAATAAATTTAATACTCCCTCCGTTTTTATATAAGTGTCGTTTTGAGGGTGATAATTTGTTTCAAAATAAGTGACGTTCTCTTCTTTCAATGACCCACTTCTTCATTCTTCACCCTTCCCCTCATCTCCTCTCTCCACCTTTTTCTCTACCCTGCCCCACACTCCTCTCTCTCTCTTTATCTTTCTCTTCCCCCTCATCTCCTCTCTTTCACAATTTGTCTCTCTCTTAATTAATATTTTACTGTCTCACACACGTTTTGCAAAGTGAGAAACAAAATTTTTTCACCAAAAAGTCAATTCTCTGCACACTTTTTTATTCCTTAAAAACTGTGTAAAAACTCAAAACGACACTTATATAGAAACGGAGGGAGTAATATAATAGCTTAGTTAAATATAATATGGTAAATTGATGAACATAACGTATTATATAATTAAGTGATATATAGCATGACAAATTTAATAATATAATAACTTAATTAAATATAATATGATAAATTTATGAACATAACATATTGTATAATCAAATGATGTATAACATAACAAATTTAATAACATAATAACTTAATTAAACCTAAATTAATTACACATTTGTATTGATCATATATTAAAATAAACTCTCATACTACTATAAATTTATAGGTGTTGATACAAAATATATATATAGACAGTAATGATATATATATATATATATATATATAATAACCTATAATTTTGATAATTTAATAATATATTTAACATATTTAACCTATAATTAATATATGTATGATAATAATTTTGTATATACACAGTTACACATTATATATATAACAAATTAATCACACATATGTATTGATCATTTATTACAATAGACTTTCATTTCACTATGAATTTACGGGTGTTGATACAAAATATATATGTAAACATTAAAAATATTTATGATAATTTATGTAATGATAATAAATATATAATAACCTATAATTTTGGTAATTTCATAACATATTTAACCTATGATTAATATATGTATGATAATAATTTTGTATATACACAATTACATATTATATATAACAAATTAATCACATATATGTATTGATCATATATTATAATAGACCCTCATTCCACTATGAATTTATGGATGTTGATACAAAATATATATGTAAACATTTAAAATATTTATGATAATTTATGTAATGATAATAAATATATGATAACCTATAATTTTGGTAATTTCATAACACTAATTAAACATATTTAATTTATGATTAATATATGTATGACAATAATTTTGTACATACATAATACACATTATATAATATATATATATATTATATATATATATATATATATATATATATATATATCTTATATATTATATATATATATATCCCTTACAAGGCCCAACCCAAAATTTTAAAACAAAAATCCAAAGTCCAAGCCCACATTTTCCCTTACCCAGCCCAAAGTCCAAATGTCCAAGTCGAACAAACACGAACTGATCTTTTGTTAATCGAACGAACACAAACAATCATTCTGTGTTTGTTCGAGTTCAAACATGAACTTGAACAATTGAACATGCTTATCGAACGATTTCGAACAGGACTATTCGTTTGTGTTCTCGATTGCAGGCCTACACCTAGTAAACCAAATGCTTTCGCTCTGGTACCATGTATGGCCAATGGTGGATCCAGGATTTTTGTCAAGGGGGGGTCTCCGCGGGTCGGCCATTATTTGCCAAATAATTAGTGAAAACTTTAAAAAATAATCAAACCTTGATAAAAAAAAAAAAAAAAATACAATACTAAGAACCTAAGAAAAAATAATATACATTAACACAATATTTTTTTACTTGAATAAATCTATGAAAAGCAAAATTTTGAGTAAAAGTGTTGAGTAAACCTTGAACAAAACCTTCTTTTAATATTTTTATTTTTGGCTTTCAAATATAATAATATAAATTTGCGTTGATCAAACCTAGCTTAATTAAGCTAAAGTCAACTAAAACTTAAATCAAGTCAACGTTACGTTGACTTTTAATATGAATTAATAAAAGAGGGAAATTTTTTTTAGTATAAACATGAATAGTAACTTAAATTTCTTTAATAATTTTGAACAACTGAACGGTGACGTTTAAAATATAAGAAAGTAGTGGGTGAAAGATGAAGAATAACGTCCTTTAAAATATAGTTAATGTTTTAATTTGAGAAAGCAGGTTCATTCTTACACAGAAAATACAAAATAAACTCACAAGATTAATATTTTTTTCTCTCAAATTAGAATAAAAAACCTCAAAAAGAAAAAAAATAATCCAATCCTTAAATAAATTAAATTGAAATGAACAATACACATACCTAAAATCTATAAAATAGAAAACGAAGCTAATTATGACACCTTGAGTAGTGAAAAATTTAACAATTTCAGTCTTCAAAAATTTTAAGAGAGAATAACATGAGAAAGAGAAAGAGAGAGTAAAGAATTTAAGGATAAAATCATAAAAAAAGACAGGTAAAGCTGTGTAAAAAAACATTAGAGAGAGTTTTAAACTTTTAATATAATGTGGGCTTGGAATATATATATATATAAATAACAAGTTTTTTTGTAGACCTAAATATATAGTATGTATAATATATATATATATATGATGTGGGCTTGGAATATATATATATAACAAATTTTTTTGTAGACCTAGATATATAGTATGTATAATAATTCTTATTTTTTAAAAATTTGAAGAAGTGTGTGGGTATATATGATAATTAACAATTTTTGATGGCATGTATATTAATAATTTTTTTTTTCAAATATGAGGTCAGGCCTACCCTAAAAGGGCTGAATCCGCCCCTGTGTATGGCCACGTAATTGTGAGCATGATCACCTGCTGCATTGCGGGTGGCGCACTCTTCGTTGGACCGACGTGGACCGTTGATCACCACGTGATTTTTTCTCCTTGTAATGCATCGGCAAATTATATTATTTAACCGTGATTAAAAATTGATCACGTGTTATTAAATTAGCATAATTAATTACTTTAATTAATCTTTAAACATATTATCACCACTCAACTCTTGAAACTCATCACTTAACGAATGGCATTCCAGTAAATAAAAGTCCAGTTTTATTTAATTATAAATTTACTGGTCGCACTTTTTCCGCATTTTCTGAGTTTCGTGGATCTGGTTATCCGGCCAAAAGGTATTTAAATTCACACAAACAAAAAACCGTCAAAAATTATCGAAAGGTCTCTCAGCTTCTCCTCTTTTCCGAAGAAGATTAAACATAATCTCATATAAAAGAAAAGATTCACACACTGTGTATTGTATGTTCATTTTTTTTTTTTTGTGTGTTTTTCCATTTCAGGCAATTTCTATGTCTCTCCTCTATTCACTTTCTTATTCAAGGGGGTTTTAGGGTTTTCATCAAGTAAGAAAATTTTCCAGTTTCTGCACTCGAAATTTCAAGTTGAGTGAATGGGGACCTGTTTGTTCCAGCTCAGTTCTTGGTGTTACAGATCAAGATATGCCTCAATTAGAAACTTTACGGAGTGTTACAGATCAAGATATTCCTCAATTAGAGAACTAATCGCATAGGAGGAGGTCAGCAGAGGAAGAAGTGTTTCTCCCTGGAGTTATATTTTCAAATAAGCCAAAATTCAACAACAACACGAGTTTTGTCAGACGGTGGCCTTTATTCCCTTCGAGATCTTGCATCAAAGTTGAAACAGCCAATGAGAGTAACATAAATACAACCAGCATACAGCATTCTTCAAATAATATGAAGGAACATCACACAAGTATAGGATATGGAACACAGAGCAAGTCCAGCAGCCCCCTTGTCTCTAATACACTGCAACAGCATTTGTCTTCTGTAACTGAGCAGTTGGAAGAAAAATGGTATGCAAGTCCTGAGGAGCTCAATGAGGGGGTTTGCACTATATATTCAAATATCTACAGTCTTGGTGTTCTTTTTTTTGAGGTGAGAGGACAGATAACATAATTTATTTTCAACTGTTATTTCACCATAGCTTGCATGACTTTTAAGGTTTCATGTCCATATCTTGCACTTGGAAGGAATTAATACCCACCGTGTTTTCTGTAATGTTCACCAAGTTCTGTATCTTAAAGAATTTTCTGAGGTTTTCTTTTACTCCTGCTTAGTCTGGCATATTGCATGTATTCTGTAATGGTCACTACAGTCTATCTGTTTTCTGGGTTTTATTCTGGGGATTGAACAAAAAACCTCTACTCTTAATTGATTAATATGGGTTTTCCTTTCAGTTACTTGGTTGTTTTGATTCTGAAAGGGCACATGCTGCAGCAATGTCAGATCTACGCCATAGGATCCTTCCTCCTACTTTTCTATCCGAAAATCCCAAGGAAGCTGGATTTTGCCCGTGGTTACTTCATCCTGAACCTCTTTCACGCCCAACAACCAGGTACTGCACTCCTGTATTCTGTTTTTGTTTTTGGTCTTTTAGCATTAAACATGGAGAGTTGAAAAACATTAAATGCCAAATTCCTCTCCACTTGGACAATAGTAAATATTTTAAAGTATTCTTAGACTAAAATTAAATTGTTTGTCTGCTAACCCTAAAGAGCAGGCTGAGCGTTATGATCTTTGGTTTTCAATCTAGAAGTTATAGGTTCAAATTACCTTCGGCCCCATATCTGGGATATTGTGTCTCACGATTTTCCTGACTTTGAAGATTGTAGTATCTGGTAGTCGACCCCTTTTCAAACCCAATGCATATGCTAAAGGATTTCAGGTTACTGAATGAAAATTGTAAATTACTTGCTTAAACATATTGGATATTGATCTCAAGTAGAGAAGATTTATCGAATCTCCAGGGACATGTAAAGTTTATGAGAATAGGCATATCATCCGAATAATCATTTATCAAAGGTGGGATGCACTGTCCAGAAGAGCATCTCTAATTATGTATGTTGGATTCCCTAGTCCGGCTAAAATATTCTAATTTCTTAACTCCACAGAGTTTTACTTGTATATTTATTTATTGGAAATTCTTTGAAATGTAGATGCTAATATTTATGGTTAACTTTAATTGATGAAAATTTAATGTAACATTATATGTTAAACTGGCTAATTTACTAAAAGCACTTTGCAACTCAATAAATCTTTTTCTAAGATGCCAACGCCGATATTGGTGCAGCAATCTAAATTACCTGCTTTGAAGCTCAATTATAGGTTCATTGTACTTAGTGATGTACTGGTATGTGAGTTCAGGTTTTATGCGTGGTTGGGCTAATTATTTGTTGATCTCTCTCCCTCACAAACACGTGCACGTGCGCTTTATAACTATGTCCATGGTATTAGGTAGGTAGGACAGACAATTCAAGAAAGGAACTTTATATGCAATTGATCCTTAATGAAATAGGGGGTAGCTATGGGCTCTTTTTTATGTTTTAAATGTTAATGTTTTTTCTCCTTGTTCCCAACTGAACTTATGTGCTTTCTTTGTTAATAGCGATATATTCTGAACATTACTAAATTATTATTAATCGGGACTTGCGAATGTATATAATAAATTTGGGGCAAGTTGCTTTTTCCCTTTTGGACATAGTCTTAGCTTATAATCTAATTTGAGTTCTAAGCTTATGATTGTTTGTGTATAACAGGGAAATCCGACAATCTGAAGTGATTAATGGATTGCAGGAGGTGTTTGCAGAAGAACTGTCATTGTCCTTTGATCAAGATGATTCTGAATCAGAACTATTGTTGCATTTCCTGAATTCATTGGAAGAGCAAAAGCAAAATCATGCTTCCAAGTTAATGGAAGAGATTGGATGCTTAGAAGCAGATATTGCTGAGGTTGATAGAAGGCTGTGTCTGAAAAATCTCTTGGTTCTCTCTTGCCTGCAAAAGAACTCCATTAATACAAGGGAAAACAAGTGCCTCAATACCCAACCCTCAAGTTCAGAGCCGCATTTGTCCCCAGTTCTTGTTGCAAATGAAAGGAGGTTGATGAGGAATTTCAGTCAGCTCGAAAGGGCTTACTTCTCTATGAGATCTGAAGTCCAGCTCCCTGACACTGATGCTACAACACGCCAGGATAAGGATTTACTGAAAAATCGTGAGAATCAGTATTTAGCCCAAAAGGAGGGAGTACAGAATCCCACTGATCCTCTAGGTTCCTTCTTTGATGGTTTGTGCAAGTATGCTCGCTACAGTAAGTTTGAAGTGCGTGGAGTTCTGAGAACTGGTGACTTCATCAACTCTGCAAATGTGATTTGCTCTCTTAGTTTTGACCGGGATGAGGACCATTTTGCTGCTGCTGGGGTATCAAAGAAAATAAAGATATTTGAGTTTAATTCACTCTTCAACGACTCGGTTGATATTCATTATCCAGCAGTGGAGATGTCAAACAGATCGAAGCTTAGCTGCATCTGCTGGAACAATTATATTAAGAACTTTCTGGCTTCAGCTGACTATGATGGTGTGGTCAAGGTTTGTATCTCCTTTAGACTAGAAAGTTTTTATGTTAAAAGGAGGACTTGTTTCTGGATGTTAATGGCCAACCTACTCAACAGTGAGCAAAGTTATTATATTTGTGATATAGATGCAAAGCCTTTTGCACGAAATTTTAAGTACATATAACTAGTGAATTTTATTTAAACCTTATATCCTGTATGTCATATTTTGGTCCTCTTTCTGCAAAATTTAGTCTGTATTAGTAGTTATTTTGATATACTTCATGTTTTACTGTTAAGTGAAGTGAATAATGTTGAACTTTCAAATTAAATTTTTTTTTCCTAGTAGTTCTGAGATCAAGCTAATTTTTATTCCTTGAGCCTTCCCACATGCTGTAGAAGTGTATGATACAATAACTACTAAATTATAGCTCTGCAAGCATTAAACTTTTGTAGACTTCAGAAGCTCATTAACAAATTATCGTTTTCTCCCTGGATAGCATAATTGGCTGGCGTTTGTTGATTTTTATCATCTTTCATTGATGTAGTGTCCCATGGCGTATTTAATGATTTTCATTACCATATTCATAGTTTTGTATGATAACTATTATTGATTTTCTGCATAAATGCTTCTATTACACTTTGGTCTCGTTTTACCTTAGATTTCATTACTTTTATCTTCTGAACCCTGCTCTCAATCTAATATAAGTTCCCTGAGTTTCTCATGACTTTTGATTTGCTCGGATGGTTTCCAGATATGGGATGCAAGTACTGGTCAAATGGTTTCTCATTACATTGAGCATGAAAAAAGGGCTTGGTCTGTTGACTTCTCCAGAGTACATCCGACAAAGTTGGCTAGTGGAAGTGATGATTATTCTGTTAAGCTGTGGAGCATTAATGAGGCACTTTTTCTTTTTCACCATCCTTTAAATGCTTAAACAAAATAAGCTGTTGCCTGGTATATCCAAAATTTGAAAGATGAAATTATTGGTATTCTCTTACACAATATTTTATTTAGTGATTTTAAAGAAATTGTTAGAGAGGCTAAAAAGACTATTCATTTTCTTTTATTTGTGTCAAAGCATGAGATTTGTATATTAAAAATATCAATTTATTGATCATTTTAATCTTTTTCTTTTGAAGAGACAATATTCTATAAGGTATTATATTAATGTTACCCCTCTAAAACAGTGAGTACCTCATTTTAGTCTTTTATTTTAACTTTTTAAATGAGTAATGCACATGTGGGACAGCTAGTAACTGTATATGGTTGGGTCATTCACTTGAATTGCAGCGAGGGCAATTGATGGATTTAGCACTTAATCCCTCAAGGCATTTAGCTTTTGTGACTGCCTAGCTTCTTGATTGTTTAATTTCTTATTCTTTTCATTCTTTGGCAGAAAAACTGTCTAGCCACCATCAGGAACGCTGCAAATGTCTGTTGTGTTCAGTTCTCCCCTCACTCCACTCATTTGCTGGCCTTCGGTTCTGCAGATTACAGAACCTATTGCTATGATATTCGGAATACCAAAAATGCCTGGTGTGTATTGGCTGGCCATGAGAAAGCTGTCAGTTATGTGAAATTCTTGGACTCTGGCCAGCCATTGGAAGGGCATGTATTGACCTTACAAATTTGCAAAGCAGTTTATTATCGAAAACGATACGTCCAACTCTGTAGTCGGCGTAGTCTCATACAAGAGAAAAAGCCAATAGCCTTTTTCAGCAAGCGTATCCTTGTCCACATATGATAGGGAGATATTGGCATTGGTCTTAGCAGCATAGAAATGGTGACCCTACCCCTTGGCAAGACATTTGTGGTACGCACTGATCATAAAAGCCTCAAGTATTATGGAACCAACACATCATCACCAGCACAACAACGATGGCTCAGTAAGTTGATGGGAATTGATTTAATTATTGAGTACAAGCAGGGTAAAGATAATCAGTAGCAAATGCACTTTCTCGCAAGATTGAAACCGTGCCGTAATGGCAAACGCATTAACCAGGATGGATTGGGACCATTCGGGAGAAAATAGAGCCCATGTAGATACGTAAAAACTACGAATTGTTTTGAGAAGGGGAAATATTAGGTCTGGACTTGCAAGGATGGGGTACTTTTCTTCAAAGACCGCATTTATTTACTTTCATCTTCCCCATTGACTGATTGAAATTATACAAAGATTCCATTTTGCCACTCGAGGGGTTACATAAAACCCTTCGACGCATTCGATCACAATTTTACTGGCAAGGAATGAAGAAGCAAGTATTGGAGGCCATCAAAGCTTGTGTATATGTCAAAGAAATAAACGGGAACAAGGAGCCACACTAAAATACTCCAATTGCTACCCATTCCTAAGATCATAACGACTGAGATATCAATGGATTTCATTATTGGACTTTGCCCTTGAAAGAAAAGACCGCTATTATGGTGTAGTGGAACGCCTATAAAAAAAATGGTGCACTTCATCACAATGTCACAGCCCTGCTACCAATAGTACTGGTCAAGTTTATTATGAGAATGTTCTTAAGCTGTATGGAGTACCAAAGTCAATCATGAACGACCGCGATCCTTGTTCACAAGCGCATTTTGGAAAGAGTTATTTTGGCTGCGGGCACTGAGATTCGCTTTCTTCCTCTTACCATCCACAGACAGACGGACAAATTGAGGTAACTAATTGTATTCTTGAAAGCCATTACAATTTTTTATCGGGAAACCTAAAACAATGGACGCTAGGTTACCATTGGCGGAGTGATAGGACCCTAAATGGGGAGGGAAAATGGTGGACATGTGGGTTATAAAGGCTTGGGCACCTTCCTTGGTAAATAGGTTTTCTAAGGGGAGTATATTCCAAGCCTACAAAGGCCCTACCTAGCCCAATTCTTATCAAGGCCCAATGTCAGCCAATTCATATTAATTTGAGAGTAGGTTTTGTCAAATAGTATCAGAGCATAATCTCATCTACATGGCAAGCTGACTTGTGGCAAACTCACCTCGGGCCCGGGCTGTTACCCCGAGAAAGGGCATGGAGGCTCGAGGGAAAGGGAATCTATGTAGTCACGAGGGGTAAAGAGGCAACAAGGGTTGGCTGACCTTAAGCCCATGCACCACCCCGAGAAAAGGCATGAAGGTCAGAAGGAAAGGAGATTTGTGTAGTCAACCAAGGGGTAAAAAGGCCAACAAGGGTACAAAGGGCGACGGGGGTAAAGAAGCCGACATGAACAGGTGCGGGAAGCGTCGTAGTGCGTTAGGATTCTACATTGGAAGGAAAAATGGTGGACATGAGGGTTATAAAGGGCTTGGGCACCCTTTTGTCAGTTGTTTTAGAGTGAAATAACTACGAGTCGGTGGATGTTGAACAAGTGTGAAATGTCCTCTTTCATTTCCTCTACTTGTGGCAGCGATTTATGGTGCAAATTGAGTGTCCACGGTATGGCTTGGACCGTTAGGTCTCGTCTAGGGTTGCAAACGAACAATAGTTCGCGAACAACTCAATGTTCGTTCGATAATGTTTGCGAACAGTTGATAATATGTTCGATCGAGTTCGAAGAGGGGGTGTCGTTCGATTATGTTTGCGAACATATATGTTCGACTGATCCATCTGTTCGAATATTCGTTCGTTTATATTCCAACAGGGGTATGAATAATATAATATATATATATATATTTTTTTTTTTTTTTTTTTTTTAATATTATGTTTGGTTAGTTTGGATGCATTTTTTTAATGGTAATCAATAATAATAAAATATTATGATACTTTTGTCTTTCTATATATATAACATGTTTGAATTTTTTTTTTTCCAAATGTCATCAATATAAATATATAAGTATATAACATTTTAATTAAAAAGTATAAATTATTTTGATATATAGCATGACAAATTCAATAAAATAATAGATTGTATAATTAAGTGATATAAATATAGTAAATCCAATAACATAATAAATTCATATTTTCCAAATGTAATAATATTAAATATTTAAATAGTATTTCAATTAATAAATAAAATATAATATGGTAAATTGATAAACATAACGTTTGTATAATCAAGTGATGTATAATATAATAAATTTAATACTCCCTCCGTTTTATATAAGTGTCGTTTTGAGGGTGATAATTTGTTTCAAAATAAGTGACGTTCTTTCTTTCAATGACCCACTTCTTCATTCTTCACCCTTCCCCTCATCCCTCTCTCACCTTTTCTCTACCCTGCCCCACACTCCTCTCTCTCCTTTATCTTTCTCTTCCCCTATCTCCTTCTTTCACAATTTGTCTCTCTCTAATTAATATTTTACTGTCTCACACAGTTTGCAAAGTGAGAAACAAAATTTTTTCACCAAAAGTCAATTCTCTGCACACTTTTTATTCCTTAAAAAACTGTGTAAAAACTCAAAACGACAACTTATATAGAAACGGAGGGAGAAGTAAATAATGCTTAGTTAAATATAATATGGTAAATTGATGAACATAACGTATTATATAATTAAGTGATATATAGCATGACAAATTAATAATATAATAACTTATAAATATAATATGATAAATTTTGAACATAACATATGTAAATCAATGATGTATACATAAACAAATTAATAACATAATAACTAATTAAACCTAAATTAATTACACATTGTATGATCATATATTAAAAAAACTCTCATACTACTATAATTTATAGGTGTTGATACAAAATATATATAGACAGTAATGATATATATATATATTATATATAATAACACTATAATTTTGATAATTTAATAATATATTAACATATTTAACCTATAATTAATATATGTATGATAATAATTTTGTATATTACACAGTTACACATTATATATACAAATTAATCACACAATGTATGATCATTTATTACAATAGACTTTCATTTCACTATGAATTTCGGGTGTTGATACAAAATATATATGTAAACATTAAAAATATTTATGATAATTATGTAATGATAATAAATATATAATAACCTATAATTTGGTATTCATAACATATTTAACCTATGATTAATTATGTATGATAATAATTTTGTATATACACAATTACATATATATATAACAAATAATCACATATATGTATTGATCATATATATAATAGACCCTCATTCCACTATGAATTATGGATGTTATACAAAATATATGTAAACATTTAAAATATTATGATAATTTATGTAATGATAATAAAATATGATAACCTATATTTTGGTAATTCATAAACATAAAACATATTTAATTTATGATTATATATGTATGACAATAATTTGTACATAATAATTACACATTATATATATAATATATATATATTATATTATAATATTATATATTATTATATATATATATATATATATATATATACCTTACAAGGCCAACCCAAAATTTTAAAACAAAAATCCAAAGTCCAAGCCCACATTTTCCCTTACCCAGCCCAAAGTCCAAATGTCCAAGTCGAACAAACACGAACTGATCTTTTGTTAATCGAACGAACACAAACAAATTCTGTGTTTGTCGAGTTCAAACATGAACTTGAACAATTGAACATGCTTATCGAACGATTTCGAACAGGACTATTCGTTTGTGTTCTCGATGCAGGCCTACACCTAGTAAACCAAATGCTTTCGCTCTGGTACCATGTATGGCCAATGGTGGATCCAGGATTTTGTCAAGGGGGGGTCTCCGCGGGTCGGCCATATTTGCCAAATAATTAGTGAAAACTAAAATAATCAAACCTTGATAAAAAAAAAAAAAAAAATACAATACTAAGAACCTAAGAAAAAATAATATACATTAACACATATTTTTTTACTTGAATAAAATATTGAAAAGCAAAATTTTGAGTAAAAGTGTTGAGGAAACCTTGAACAAAACCTTTTTTAATATTTTTATTTTGGCTTTCAAATTAAAATATAAATTTGCGTTGATCAAACCTAGCTTAATTAAGCTAAAGTCAACTAAAACTTAAATCAAGTCAACGTTACGTTGATTTTAATTGAAATAATAAAAGAGGGAATTTTTTTAGTATAAACATGAATAGTAACTAAATTTCTTTAATAATTTTGAACAACTGAACGGTGACGTTTAAAATATAGAAAGTAGTGGGTGAAAGATGAAGAATAACGTCCTTTAAAATATAGTTAATGTTTTAATTTGAGAAAGCAGGTTCATTCTTACACAGAAAATACAAAATAAACTCACAAGATTAATATTTTTTTCTCTCAAATTAGAATAAAAAACCTCAAAAAGAAAAAAATAATCCAATCCTTAAATAAATTAAATTGAAATGAACAATACAATACCTAAATCTATAAAATAGAAAACGAAGCTAATTATGAAACCTTGAGTAGTGAAAAATTTAACAATTTCAGTCTTCAAAAATTTTAAGAGAGATAACATGAGAAAGAGAAAGAGAGAGTAAAGAATTTACGGATAAAATCATTAAAAAACAAGTAAAACTGTGTAAAAAAACATTAGAGGAGTTTTAAATTTTAATATAATGTAGGCTTGGAATATAATTATATATATATATATATATATATTATAATATATATTATAATAAGTTTTTTTGTAGATAATAATATAGTATGTATATAATTCTTATTTTTTAAAAATTTGAAGAAGTGTGTGGGTATATATGATAATTAACAATTTTTGATGGCATGTATATTAATAATTTTTTTTTTCAAATATGAGGTCAGGCCTACCTAAAAGGGCTGAATCGCCCTGTGTATGGCCACGTAATTGTGAGGCATGATCACTGCTGCATTGCGGGTGGCGCACCTTTCGTTGGACCGACGTGGACCGTTGATCAACACGTGATTTTCTCCTTGTAATGCATCGGCAAATTATATATTTAACCGTGATTAAAAATTGATCACGTGTTATTAAATTAGCATAATTAATTACTTTAATTAATCTTTAAAAATATTACACCACTCAACTCTTGAAACTCATCACTTAACGAATGGCATTCCAGTAAATAAAAGTCCAGTTTATTTAATTATAAATTACTGGTCGCACTTTTTCCGCATTTTTGAGTTCGTGGATCTGGTTATCCGGCCAAAAGGTATTTAAATTCACACAAACAAAAAACCGTCAAAAATTGTCAAAGGGCTCTCAGCTTCTCCTCTTTCCGAAGAAGATTAAACATATCATATAAAAAGAAAGATTCACACACTGTGTATGGATGTTCATTTTTTTTTTTTTGTGTGTTTTTCATTTCAGGCAATTTCTATGTCTCTCCTCTATCACTTTCTATTCAAGGGGGTTTTAGGGTTTCATCAAGTAAGAAAATTTTCCAGTTTCTGCACTCGAAATTTCAAGTTGAGTGAATGGGGACCTGTTTGTTCCAGCGAGTTCTGGTGGTACAGATCAAGATATGCCTCAATTAGAAACTTTACGAGTGTTACAGATCAAGATATTCCTCAATTAGAGAACTAATCGCATAGGAGGAGGTCAGCAGAGGAAGAAGTGTTTCCTGGAGTTATATTTTCAAAAAGCCAAAATTCAACAACAACACGAGTTTTGTCAGACGGTGGCCTTATTCCCTTCGAGATCTTGCATCAAAGTTGAAACAGCCAATGAGGTAACATAAATACAACCAGCATAAGCATTCTTCAAATAATATGAAGGAACATCACACAAGTATAGGAATGGAACACAGAGCAAGTCCAGCAGCCCTTGTCTCTAATACACTGCAACAGCATTGTCTTCTGTAATGAGCAGTTGAGAAAATGGTATGCAAGTCCTGAGGAGCTCAATGAGGGGGTTTGCACTATATATTCAAATATCTACAGTCTTGGTGTTCTTTTTTTGAGGTGAGAGGACAGATAACTATTTTTTTGCAACTGTTTTCACCATAGCTTGCATGACTTTAAGGTTTCATGTCCATACTTGCACTTGGAAGGAATTAATACCCACCGTGTTTTCTGTAATGTACCAAGTTCTGTATTTAAAGAATTTTCTGAGGGTCGATCTACTCCTTAGTCTGGCATATTGCATGTATTCTGTAATGGTCACACAGTTATCTGTTTTCGGGTTTATTCTGGGGATTGAACAAAAAACTCTACTCTTAATTGATTAATATGGGTTTTCCTTTAGTTCTTGGTTGTTTTGATTCTGAAAGGCACATGCTGCAGCAGTCAGATTACGCCATAGGATCCTTCCTCCTACTTTTCATCTGAAAACTCAAGGAGCTGGATTTTGCGTGGTTACTTCATCGACACTCTTTCACGCCCAACAACCAGGTACTGCACTCCTGTATTCTGTTTTTGTTTATGGTCTTTTAGCATTAAACATGGAGAGTTGAAAAACTTAAATGCCAAATTCCTCTCCACTTGGACAATAGTAATATTGTAAAGTATTCTTAGAGGACTAAAATTAAATTGTTTGTCTGTTAACCCTAAAGAGAGGCTGAGCGTTATGATCTTTGGTTTTCAATCTAGAAGTTATAGGTTCAAATTACCTTTGGCCCCATACGGGATATTGCGTCTCACATTTTCCTGACTTTGAAGATTGTAGTATCTGGTAGTCGACCCCTTTCAAACCCAATGCATATGCTAAAGGATTTCAGGTTACTGGATGAAAATTGTAAATTACTTGCTTAAACACATTGGATATTGATCTCAAGTAGAGAAGATTTATAATCCCAGGGACATGTAAAGTTAGAATAGGCATATCATCCGAATAATCATTTATCAAAGGTGGGATGCACTGTCCAGAAGAGCATCTTAATTATGTATGTTGGATTCCCTAGTCGGCTAAAATATTCTAATTTCTATCTCCACAGAGTTTACTTGTATATTTTTATTGGAAATTCTTTGAAATGTAGATGCTAATTTATTGGTTAACTTTATGATGAAAATTTAATGTAACATTATATGTTAAACGGCTAATTTACTAAAAGCACTTTGCAACTCAATAAATCTTTTTCTAAGATGCCAACACATATTGGTGGCAATCTAAATACCTGCTTTGAAGCTAATTATAGGTTCATGGTACTTAGTGATGTACTGGTATGTGAGTTCAGGGTTATGCGTGGGTGGGCTAATTATTTGTTGATCTCTCTCCCTCACAAACACGTGCGGCGCTTTATGTCATGGTAGTAGGAGTAGGAGACAATTCAAGAAAGGAACTTTATATCAATGATCCTTAATGAAATAGGGGGTAGCTATGGGCTCTTTTTTAGTTTTAATGTAATGTTTTCTCCTTGTTCCCAACTGAAATTGTGCTTTCTTTGTTAAAGCGATATATTTCGAACATTACTAAATTTTATTATCGGGACAACTGTCTAGCTACCATCAGGAATGCTGCGAATGTCTGCTGTGTTCAGTTCTCCCCTCACTCTACTCATTTGCTGGCCTTCGGTTCTGCTGATTACAGAACCTATTGCTATGACATTCGGAATACCAAAACTGCCTGGTGTGTATTGGCTGGCCATGAGAAAGCTGTCAGTTATGTGAAATTCATGGACTCTGGCACTCTTGTTACAGCATCCACTGACAATACCTTGAAACTTTGGGATCTCCAAAAAACCAGTCATTGTGGGCCATCCACCAATGCTTGCAGCTTAACCTTCAGTGGGCACACTAACGAGAAGGTGGTTATCTGCATACTGGATTGTACTTTTTTGTTTAACTGTTTCTTAAGCATGTCTAATATGTGTTTTCTATTGTTTGGTTTGATTATGCATCTCCTTCAGAACTTTGTGGGCTTGTCAACTGCTGATGGCTACATAGCTTGTGGTTCAGAAACAAATGAGGTAAAACATAAAATCGTCTATTGTTAGTTTGTTTTGCTGCAGCATTTAGTGTAACAATAATTGTCATGCAAGTTTAAAAAGTCTCTTTCATCCTTGGTGCCTTATCAACATTTTTGCTGAATAACCCAACTTCCCTAACTGTTTGAAGTCATGTTTGTCCTGTCTCAGGTTTATGCTTACTATAGAGATCTACCTATGCCAATTGCTTCCTACAAATTTGGCTCCATTGATCCTATTTCCGGAAAAGAGACTGATGATGACAATGGACTGTTTGTTTCAAGTGTTTGCTGGAGAGCGAAATCAGACATGGTTGTTGCCGCCAATTCAAGTGGGTGTATAAAAGTGTTGCAGATGGTTTAAGAGATGTTAAGCCTGTGAAGCCGATCTAAGAATAATGTGTTTATGTTTTCCCTTGGGGTGCCGTTCTTGAGCTAAAACTGAGAAAAGCAGCAGAGAAACTCAAAAGAACTGAGAGATACCTCTCTTGGTTTCTGGTAACTTATGTCCGATGGAAAGCAAGTATAGCCATTGGATCCCCAAATTATGGAAAAAAACTAGTGGACTGGGCACGGACTATTTGCAGGCTTTGAAACCAGGAGTATCATAGTGCTGTCAATGATAGAAAGAGGCTTCACCCAACACATTAGAATATAGAAGGAAACAATCAAAGATTAATATGACACGTAAGCAACCGGATAGAAATCAAGGGATTTCTGGGAATATGAGTTATTCTTTCAGTTCTTCATGGTGACAATCGACAGATAGAGACTTCTATGCAGTCAACACAGAAGCATCTCGGACTCCCGTCTATCTGAGAAATTCCCACATAGGTTGCATCAGAGAATTCAAGTTATAACTACTAAAGTGAATTGTAAATCTTTATGTATATGATAATTTTGTTATGATAGATCTGTAGATCATATAATCTGTTCTATACCATAATTCAATTTTGCCAGATTATTGAAGTGCGTCAATGAGTTAGTTACTTTCAGCCAAGCCAATTCATCTTCAATATTAAAAATTAAAGCTCAAAAGCATGACAGGTAAATGTGTTACTCACTGGCTCAACTATTGTAAACAAATGAGACTGTCGTAGAAAAGAAAAATGAAGTAAAATTTCAAGTATACATACCAAGGGCGAAGTTACAATGCTTCTACCTCTCAAATTCTGAAAACTACCCAAGTATTTTGGAGGCCTAGAACAGATTCAACAGAACGCGTAGAAATTTGTAGTGTCCGTCGTGGGTGCGAAATGCGGTCTTCTCAATATCTCCGGGATGCATGGGTATTTGGTGGTATCTCGCTCGCAAGTCTAATTTTGAGAAAAATTTGGCGCCATATAATTTGTCTAACAATTCATCGACCACCGGTATTGGGAATTTATCCATGATGGTGGCTAAATTTAGAGCCTGGTAGTCCATCCAAAATCTTCAAGAGCCATCTTTTTTCTTGACAAATAGCACTGGTGAAGAATACAGGCTCATGCTTAGCCTAATTATTCCGTCTTTCATCATTTCCTCCACCAATTTCTCTATTTCTCGCTTCTAGTAATGCCTTTCAGTCTCTCCAATGCTCCATCTATATTTCAAGCATTAATGAATGATATTTTTCGTCCATTCCTGCACATGTTTGTCCTAGTATTTTTGGATGACGCTCTTGTCTATAGTTCAAATTAGGAATCACATTTAAACCATCTGGAAATTGTATTTTCCACTCTAGCCACTCACCAGCTTTATGTAAGAAAAGAAAAGTGTTGCTTTGGGGATACAAAAATTCAATACTTGGGACACATCATTCGTGAAGGAGAAGTAGAGATGGAGCCCAACAAAATTGTGGCAATAAAAGAATGGCCCAAGCCAACCATAGTAACGACCATGCGCGGGTTCTTAGAACTCTCGAGCTACTATCGAAAATTCATAAAGGATTATGGGAAAATTGCAGCGCCATTAACCAATATGCTGAAAAAGAATAACTTTGCCTGGACCCAAGAAGCTGATCATGCATTCGAGGAGTTGAAACAAGCCATTGTTAAAGGGCATGTATTGACCTTACAAACTTTGCAAAACAGTTTATTATTGAATGCGATGCGTCCAACTCTGGAGTCGGCGTAGTCCTCATACAAGAGAAAAAGCCAATAGCCTTTTTTAGCCAAGCTATAAAAGGAAAATTGGTATCCTTGTCCACATATGATAAGGAGATATTGGCACTGGTCTTAGCAGCATAGAAGTGGCGACCCTACCCCTTTGGCAAGACATTTGTGGTACGCACTGATCATAAAAGCCTCAAGTATTTATGGAGTACAACGATGGCTCAGTAAGTTGACGAGATATGATTTCATCATTGAGTACAAGCAGGGTAAAGATAATTCAGTAGCAAATGCACTTTCTCGCAAGATGGAAACCGTGCACGTAATGGCAATATCGACATTGTTGATGCGTGATTTTAACACCAACTAAATGCATGTGTGAAATGCTGAGCTAGCTCAGAAGACACGCGTATGGGGGTAGTGAAAATGAGTAATAGGTGGAGAAACAAAGTTTTAAAGTGGTTCGGATGCTTAAGCAAGCGACTCATACGTCCGCTGATATTGTATTAATATGGAGGGTCAGGTCGCGTTCAACGAGCTGACTTGCGAGTGATTATAGAAGAGAGAATAAGCTATTACAGAGAGAATTTAGCTATTACAGAGTAAAAATGAGCCAATCCCACAAACAGGAGAGGAGCTCTCTATTTATAGTGGGATGAATTAAAGTAATGATTATAGAATCCGTAAAACAGAGGCAGATACCGTGCAAATCCTTCTTTGCGTCCCGTTGCTCACCTACTCGAGTGATTTCCTCATTTAGTATAGGGGTTGGACACGTGGACGGCCTCCAGCCTCTCATCAGTCTGGCGCGCACCCACTACATTGGCAGGAGCATGCTACTCACGCCAGCATGCGACGTGGCTGAGTCTGAACGGCTGTAGGATCTGCCTATACTTTGACCATTTACGCTGACCGAGCTCTACGTCAGCCCTACTTTCTCAGGCATAACAGAAGTCCTCTAGTTTTTAAGGTTTGAGGATCAAACCTTGGAAACTACATAATTATACCTTGATTTGACACATCCAAAGAGGTGATGGTTGACTCGACCTGCTTGCAAAGAGGTCAAGGACATATTTCAACACAGGCGACCTGAAACGATCTTCGCTGTAAGGTCAGCGACCTAAATTTAGATTGTATTCAGTACCATAACGATGATGCCGACCTGGACTGAATTTCGTGACCTGATTACACTTAGCAAGTTTCGTTAAGAACAAAGAATCACGTTGCTTCGCAACTGGTGTCTATTGAGGTCGAGGGGTCACGTCGCTTCACGACTGACATGAGATGAGATCGAAGAGTTACGTCGCTTCGCGACTTACAAGACGAAGAGTGTTTTTCATAACGACCTCTTCAGATGTTTTTCCGTTGCGCTTTTGCTGCAGGTGCATTTAATGAAATGCCTTCTGTTCTGACAGACGTGCCTTATGCGCAATAAGTGCCAGCCATGCGCATTAAATGCGAGCCATGCTGAAACGACATTCCCTATCAGAGCATTAAATGCAGACGTGGGTGCATTTAATGTGGAGGAGGGGAAACGTGCCATCGCTTGAGTTTTTCAGTGGAAAAGAACAACGGTTTGGTTTCTTGAGGCGTGATGGTCACTCTTCTTTGCTGATTCGCGACACATGGTCGCGACCAATGGTCAGATGCGTTTTCCGCCCAAACGTCGTTTGACTCTGGGAAACCAAAGCGCCTTTTCCTTCACTATAAAGCCCAGGTTTACTTTAGGCAATGTCACAATATTCATCTTCTCAGAGAGAGCAAGAAATTTTCGTGAACTCTGATTCTTTGCCTTTCAAAGCGATGCACACTTGATATTCGAAGTAGAAGGATTGATCTTCTCATTTTAGGAGGTAAGGATTGTCCCTCTGCTACTTTTATTGTTGTTTTCGATAGTCGTCATGCGACGATAGTCCGTCGGGAGTTGACCAGAGGTGAAATACTCTCTTTGGGATTGAGCCATTAATAGTGGCTCTAAAAGTATTCTGTTAGGGTTTATCTAGGGTTTAAGGGAGGAAATATTTATTGTTTCCTTCCACGTCATCGTACGGAATAGTATACGAGGACTGAACGATTCCCTGCTTGTTGCTTTTGTAGACCATAGTAGGATGGACCCCCCACCGACTAGAGCCGAGGAAGGGACCATTTCATCTGCATAGGATGCTCATGCGGGTCCCCCTCAAGAGATCCCGTCGGTGCTTACTGACGAAGAGCTTCAAAGGGTGATAGACCAATATGCTATCAGCGTGGAGGTCTTCTGAGACAGGACATGCACGGCTCAAAATCCGCCAGGAGGGCTGGCCACGATCTCCGAGGACATTTTCAAAGGTGCGGGGTTGATCCCTTTCCACCCCTTTGTCAGGTCTGTCCTCGACCATTTAGGGATCGCACCCTTGCAGTTTACACCGAATGCGTATATGATAGCCGTGGCCATGTATATCGTGTGTCGTGAAAACAGACTGGGCGAGCTAACAGCGCTAGAGCTCGGTTGTTCGTATATCCTGAAAAATAGTAAGGACAAAGATTCCTACTACCTTTCCAGGTGAACCACTATTGGAGCGGGAATACATAGTTACCTGAGCAATGCGAGGGCGTATGAGACGAAGTTCGTTTTCTTTCGTTACGACGGCCCTTGCTATTTTCAGGATTCGAGTAGGTTTTCCTTCTTTATCGCTTTGCGACCTTTTTTGGTCTTCGCTAACGAGTTCTTATTTTCTTTGCAGTTAACAAAACGACCAGTTTAGAGCTCCTCGCGGATCCGGATAGGATTACTACCTTCAGCTTTTTGCCCGAAGAAAGTCGCGACGCTAGATTGCTCGTGACAGCTGCAAACTTGCGGAAATATGGCTTCTTTAACTCAGAAGCGACCTTAGAGCCCCCATCGAGTAAGCTTCGCAACCTTGGTTTATTTTTTGATTGTGCGTGCAGCGTACTATTTTGCTAACGATGTTCACATATAGCGACCATGCCTCCAAAGGTGTCCAGATCACCACAATCGAGACAGTTCACCTTCCCTAGAGTGGGGGCCACTGGGCCAATTGGAGGTGCTCCCACCGGTCCCCCTGCCGGAAGGGCGCCGACTGGTGCTCCAATCTGACCTGTGGGGGCTCCCCAGCCCCCGGATGTTCGTCCGAGGCAGAAGACGATGGCTCAACGGCCCAAGAAGAGGCGAAAAATTTAGATCGAATAATCAGAGTCCAAACCGAAGGACCTGGGCGTTCAGCTTGAGAGGTCGTAGGCCTACCAAGCAATCCGCTCGGGAGGGCCTACCAGAGGCATGACCGACATCTCCATTGCCCCGGGGGCACCACAAACAAG